TCGCGTGGCACCATCTGGTTCTTTTTCCTCTTCAGAATCATTCACTGTTCCATGAAAGAAACAGGCTGCAGTTCAGCAACAGCTTCTTTGCTGAGCCTGAACAGAGGATATCGTGGAAACCAACAACTAATTAGAAGATTAAAAACGTTGGAGTAGCATGGTAATTCTGGCAGGACATCTCGACATTAATATGCATTGATAGTTCTTGTCGAAGTGAAGTCTGTGAAGTAAAGTACCAGTTGTCAGAGTGGGTCAGATCCGTGGATCTTCTGCCCGGTTACTGACCTAAAGATGTTGGATTGTGAATACAAAGTCTCGACTCCCTGACTCCATCTGATGAGCTCATTATACCAGCTACTTCTCAGGGAAACACTGGTGAACACGTTGCTAAAGGGTTAACAGAGGAGCCATGTTGTAATAACTTCCTGAAGGCAGAGTTTTAGAAAGAGCAGGAGCTTCTTAAAGAGACAGAGGCCCAATTTCAAGGCATTAAATTACAAAGTCAAATTTCTTCTAAGTCTTTTGATAATAGCAGCATTTCTATGAATGAAGATAACAAAATTACTTGATTGTGCTTTAAAATGGCACTATGTGTGTACATAATTCGGACCTACAAGACAAGCACAAAAGTTTGAATAAACAGGAGAATGTTTTACATAGATTTAAAGTCTTTACACTGATTCTATAACGCACGTGTCAAACTCAAGGCTGGGTCCTAAATCCGTAGCTTTTCATGTAGCCCTTCAATCCCTTCAGTTTTTCATAAATCTGCAAAATTCACATAAAATCACCAGATCCCCACTTTTTTTTCTGATTTTACTGCAATTTTTCTCAAAATTGGCCAAAAAAGTTTGGTTTAAGTGACTGCTGCCTCAGCCTTACTTGATGTCAAGTACGGCAATTAAAAAAAATGTCACATTTAACATCATATATTAGGACAAATATAAAAATCACAACATCCTGGATGGACTGACCAGTGTGAAAAGATGTTTAATGTTATTTCAATTTAAGAAAGTTATTTTAACTCTTGGTCATTTACTGGCAAAATCTTCACTTTTTTTCAGTCTCTTGCTCTCTTCTAGTCTTCCCTTTATTGCCAAAGATGGTCAATTTTTGGCAATAAAGATTGCCAAATCTTTATCACCCCCAGCAATGCTGCTCCTTAATTGACTTGTGCAAGTTTACACGTAAAAAAAAAAAAAAAAAAACTTCTCAAGGCTTTACTCATCTGCATACATGTTGCATTACAGCACAATTACATATTGATTACATTGACGTGCCTTCACCAGCCAAATCTGTTCTCCATGTGCCAAATCCATTCTACATTATTTGCTATGCTTTTGTGGAGCTTCAGAGCAGAGCGCATGCTGTAATCTTGCGTTATTGTTTCGGGATTAACGTCAAATCTCATTACAGCTGTGGTGGATCGCTGGAGAGGCAGGATTGAGGAGGGGGAAACTGGGAGAGGGGCGGAGGTTATCTTGTGTTTTATTAGGTTTTAAAAGCTAAACGCAAAAAAGAGAGGATGAAGATATGAAGGGGGGTTGAAATCTCTATTTCACACGTCGTCCACGTCTGCTGGGAGGTTGTTATGTACGAGTCGCAGTCGATGGAGACGGAGCAAGCAGAGGTCAAGGGGTCAGGACGAGATGTGTCGGAGGACGGGGAAGTGAATTACGCCACAAATCTAACAACTGAGCCCTCCTCCTCTGCCACGCCCCGCAGTCCCAAATACCGCTCATCGGTTAGCATTTTTTTCCCCCTTCGAAGTCTGGCACGCTCACGCTTCATAAACCTCGCTTTTATTACCAATAGATCCGTGAGGGTTGTAATTGCCTGACTGATATACAACCGGCAGAGGGAAAGCGGCTCGGGTTCCCTCACTTTTAAAGAGCCGCTCGGCGTTGAGAGGCACGGGGACACGCCTCGATTCGTCCAATAAGGCACGCCGCTTTGTTTGTATACGCGTACGTGCATGCGGCGCCGTCGAAAGGGACTTGCTCTGTGACAGATTACACACAGACGTTTATGTGAGAGATTTAACGTAAACATGAGGAATGCAAAAAAAAATATGCGATAATGTATGCGTTCTAGCTCGAGTTGAAACAAGTTTTGAAATCTATCAGCCATGAAATGGTTACAAAGGTTTTTATTTGGAGGGAGAAAAAGAGGGAAAACACTTTTTAAATGTTCATACTGGACCCGATTTTAAATCGATTTTCTCTCTTTTCTAAAAAAATAAAAAATAAATTACTAACAGAAAACATTTTTAAAAAGTGGTTTTTATTTCAATCACTCCTTCGGTGAGTTATGATGGTGCATCAGCCAGGCTAGAGAAATGCTTTGCTTAATTATGTGAATAGAGTCATAATATTAGCAGAATAAGTCTTAAAGTTACAAGAAGAATTTGGTTTTATTGAGAAAATAAGTTTGGATCCTCTATTTTTGGTGCTTGAGTTCTCATAAATTTATTACATTGTTCTCCTAATACTATTACTTTATTCTTGTAATATTACAATTTTATTGTCATAATTACCTTAGCCTGACCCTTTTATTTTATTGTAAACTTGACTTAAGTTAAAAATCCACATAAATAGCAGCTATAAAACTCCTTAGCCAAACAAGATGGCTGCCCTGGGTGTGGATCAATCGATAAAATCTTATTATGATCCAAGCCAAAGGGCAATTTTGATTATTCCACTTAATAGCAAATAAAACTCCAATATCCAGTTACTTCAAAAATATGAATATTATGTATGACTTGTGAAAATCAGAATCATTGGAGAACTATTACTGCCATGTTTTGGCCTGCACAATCATGAGGAAGCCTGTTGATTTGACCAGCAGAGTGAAGGAGAGCAAGTCACAATTAGTCACCATTATATACAATGTACTTTGAATTGCCCTGTTGATTGAAAATTCCTATAAAAAAAAAAAAAAAATGATAAAAGCTAGCTGTTTGCAGAGTCCACATTATGAATAGAAAGTTGAGTGGAAAGAAAAAGTTTTTTTTTTTTTTTTTTTAGTGGGCAAAGGTTGCTGGAGCCTCAAGTAGATGAATTAAAAATCAAGGGAATAGGTATCCATAGTTTGCTATTCATTATCTGTAAACCATAATTATCAAAACATATTGTTGTAACCTTTCCTCTTAATTTCCTGGTCTTTCATTCCTTATTTCATTTGGAAACTAGGGGATTACACCATTTCCCTCTTTTTTGTAGAGCAAGTCAATGCCAAGACTTTTAGGCAAAAAGACTCAGCACACCTTTTCCCTAAGACGCTAGGATGGGACGCGTAAAACATGTTGAACCAGATCACAATTTACACAAATTAATTCCAAAGCCAAGAAAAGCAGCGCACACATTTTAGCACTTTTCAGTAACCTCACACAATTCAAATTCCCTGACTCAACACTCCAAACATTTTAAAAACACAAATACTCGCTTTGTATCAAAGCAAACAGTCAAACACATGTACACACAAACTCCTGATACCCACCCCTCCCCCGCAGCAGAGCACCATGCTTGTGAGACCCCAGAGGCCCACCAAAACACATACCGGCCCCATTAGAAGCAAGAAATATCAGCACAGCAACACCGCAACCACCGATTGCCGAAGAACGCATGCTCTTTTTTTTTTTTTTTTCCTCTTTTTAAATTCACGACTGGGTGGAGGGTGTTGGGAGTCGACAGCTCATCAGCAGCTGCACAGTTAGAACTCGCTGTAAGTGGAGGAACGGCTGAGGAAAATAAAGCTCATCAAACACGCCGATCGTTGCTGGGGTTTGTCAACAGCACCGAGGAAAAAGGGGCAGAAATTAATCAGATCAAACAGAGATTTGGGAATATTCTGGTGGAACATCAATTCCCTGGAAAGAACATTCATAACACTTATCTATATTAGATAAAAGCCTAATCTGTATACTCATTACACCTAATATTTCAGCTTATTTACTTTCAGAAGATCTAAAGTCATAAGAATGGTAGTCATGAACTAGAGAAATCTGGAACTTGATGGAGTGATGGAGTCCGTCTTCAGAGGCCCCTTCAGGCTCCTACAGACATTTACATATATACAGAATTACAGTTTTGGTTATGCTAAGTTATGCTAAGCACGGACGTATCTGCAATGTATACGAGTTTATATGCAATGAAGTAGTTATATTGGCAAAACATTAAAAAGGTATGCAAGTATTTTGTCAAGAAGCATGTTTCTAAAACATAAAAATGAGCTCAATACACGTTTAAAAAAAAGATTGAGGCTTGGAAAAAATAATTATTCACCACTTTCAGATTTCACAACCTGCAATATATTTTACTGGGATTATATGACAGAGCAATGAGAAAAATAAAAAATATGAACATGATTCAGAAAGTGATCCTCCTACAGCAGATTCATTACACATTTTGAAACATTTCAAAATGTGAAATGTTTCACATTTGTTTCTTCTAATTGACTTACAGATGATGAAAGCTCACAATTTAGTGTCAGAAAATTCAAATATTTTGTCAAGGTGAAAGCATATTGATAGAAAGTTGAATGGAAGTCAAATATGTGATGTCAAAAGATAGAGATATTGTCAAGTTTTTGCCCTCTTTAAACCACCTCAGCTTCTGCCCAAACTTGAAAAAGCTTGCTTCCCTCAAAGAAATGCAGGAATCACTAATCTCAGCGACATATTTTATTCTTTTTGTCTTTAGATTATTTCAATTGATAGTGTAAGACCACCATGACTTCGCATAAGTAGTCAGAGTAGTCACAGAGAAGTCACAAAGCAGGTTGAAAACCTACAAACAAATGGGGAAAAAATCTATTACAGATCACAGCGAACTAATTAACTAATTTTCCAGGTAATGTTAAACTACTTTTAAGTTAACAGTGATTGAACAAACAAATAAACTACATTCCAAACACATAAAACCCATTGCATCACCAAGGCTAGTTTGGTCTTCTAAATGCAGATTAAATGATATAAACTGTGGATAATGTCCAGGTCCTACCAGTGGTCTTTGTGGAAGCTTGAAGCTCTTTGTCTGAAGAGATCATTGTGAGCACAGGTGTGCCAAGTTACCTTATAGTCTTCAGATGGGCCTGAGTCGTGAAAGGGATGGGTGCGCTTGATTCTCTGTGATGTGTGTGCCAGTTGGGTGGAGATAGCAAATGCACTCACAAGTGTACCATTTGCTGTTTTAACTTGACAGATATAAAAAGCAACACATTTGTTCCACAGATTTGTGGATTCATTCAGTTTCCATTCCACAAATGTCCATGTTTTTTTTTTAATTTTCTACACAGATGGGCTTTACGTTAAATGTATAAATATTCTTTTAGGAGTTTGGCAGGAAGTGTGCAGCAGCAGGTGTGTGAGGCGTAAGGTTCTACTACTTTCTGTTCCATAAAGTTGGAGGAACTGGAACTTTCTCTGCCACCTCAGTGAAAGAATTTCACACTGTAGGAACGGTATGACAGAACATTTTAGTAGCCTTGAAACCATCCATCCATTGTCTAGACCCGCTTTTCTTCGGCGGGTTGTAGGGGTTGGCGGCTACTTCCAGAGGTCATTGGGCGAGAGGCAGGGTACACCCTGAAGAGGTCACTACTCCATGACAGACTAACAGACCAATGAATCAAAGAGTCATGTTTTTGTACAGTGAGGAAGAAAGCCCAAGACTGTATCCTTCATGCATACTAGGCCATACGCCACCATCCAGCTCAGACTTCAAACCATAACTTCTTAATACCTTGGTAAATCTCAACACCAGTAACTATTTGCTGAGATACCAGATGGAATGGCAGAAAAAGAAGCTAATTATAGTAAAGGGGAAATGGTCTAACTTGTATAGTGCTCATCAAGGACCCCAAAGTGCTTATCAGTACATTCAGGCATTCACCAGCAGATGGTGGTAAGCTAATCTGGACAGTAGCCACAGCTGCCCTGGGGCAGACTGACAGACCACCAGCAGGCAAGGGGAGTGACAAGGACACAATAACAGAGGTGGACCATTCAGGGATTGAACCAGCAACCCATTGATTGTAGGATAACTTCCTACCACTGCTGTCACCATTGTCCCAATGAGCCTTTATCCACATACATCTGTTTTGGGATGGTTTTTCAGTCCAAATCAAAAAGTCTTGAGGTTTTAAATTAAGTTTGCAGGCAGTACAAAGATTTTATCTTGACATGTATGAATGCAGTGCAGTGCCTGTGTGTTTCAGACCAAAAACACACTCCCCTCCAAGAGCACGGTGTGAAGGGAGGGCTAAAAGAATTACCAGTGAGGACCCGTCAAGTCCCCGGCATTCCATTAGCCGAGCCCGTGATGTACTGCCAAACCACCTAGCTTCTTTCTCCCTCACACAATCGGGAGCGCGGAGAGGGGGGACCAGCCACACTGCCTCCACCCGACACCCTCCCCCCCCTCTCCTTCACACACACCTCACAACCTCCATCACTCACCATCCATCAGAAGACCTCCACAGATGGGCTTGCACATAACACATGCAAAGAGGTTCGAGACTCACCAGTCATTGCACTCAAGTCCAGGCACACACACACACACGCACACAGCACTCTGCTAAACACAGTCTCTTTTTCTCCCTCCCAGACGTACACTCCTTTCTGTTTTCACACACAAATTGCACAAAGTCTTTCATCTGTGGCTCAGAAACAAGGGCTGACTGGGAAACACAATTAGGCCCCAATTAGCACCATCAGTTTTACCTGAGAGAGCTGGCAATATACAGCAGCGGACAGACAGTGGGGGCACAACGAGATGTTGAGATTAAAATGCCAGAATATTTCTTGTCAAATGGAAGCTGTTCCAGTGAAACGCTGTAGTTGCTGTTAGCACTCTGAATCAGTGTTTCAGACTTTTAATTTGAAGCAGAAAGGGAAGGAGTTCTTGAGCCGTCCTGTTGTGTTGACAACACTGTCACAAAGGCACTGACCACTCCTGTGGGCTTTTGGGTAGGAAGTAAGAAAAAGAAATGGAGACAGAGAAAATATCAACAATTTGTAAGTACTGCACCTACCTTAGTGGCTAATGACACCAAACCTTGCACACGTTTCATAGCTTCAAATCTTCACTGGATTAAAAGGTTATCTCATGGTTTGTTAATACGTTTTTATTGCATTTGATCTGTTGAAATCAGAAATATTTCGACGGACTAAACAATCTGTTTTGAAAGATTGACAAGAGAGAGAGGGACCACTTTACACACGCTGAGTCTGGCTTTTTCTGCTAGAAACCCCAAGCAGAGTGAAACCAATTTTTTTAACATTTGGGTTTCTACACAAAACGCCAGCTGCTAGAGATTTCAGGAGAATATTTAGCGTATGTAAGCTATGCTAGATCCTCCCAAAATCTTTGTAGCAGGATAGGTCACTGCTTTGGCAATGCTACGGATCTTCTAATTCAGATTTTTAATGTAAAAGTCGACATTTTTTCCACCTGTTGGTGGAGATTACGTGCGTCAATGTTTTTAGTTGAATGGGTTTTTTTAAATACAGGAACAGACATCCAGAGTTGGGAAATTTGGCTTTAAACCAACCAATCTCAAACTGCTTAATCGTACACTGAACACATATCACAAAAGACTAAGATTGAGATTAATGACCTTTTTGATCAAATTTAAATTTACTGAAGTACACCTAGTATTGAAATGGCCACCACTGCTGTTAAAATATCTATCTAGCAGTTTTTCTGGGTAGAAAGAAACATTTAGTGGCATGACAGAAACAACCTGAAAACTTTTTAGGAACACAGTGAGTCAGTGTGGTGTGTGGAGCAGCAGCAGAGCCGGGGCCCATATATGGAGGCAAATTGTCCACAATGCGGTTCAATTCCCGACTCTGGGACCTTGAATCTACGTGTCTTCCCTACTGCAAGTAAAAGTCATTTGATTCCATCAAAAAAAAAAAGGCACATATTGAAGTATTGCATTAGAAAAGGCTGATTTAAAGAGTAAAATTCAAAATAACATTCTCAATTTACTTGAAGCTTTTCCGAAAAAGAGTTGATGTGCTAAGGTGAAGATGGAGACACACTTGCTGAAGAAATTCTGACGTAGGGAACATTTATCTGACATGCCGGGTCAGCTGTGTCAGCTATCAGCGTGCATTAGAATTGAATTTCTTTCTTTACGTCTTCAGACAGGGCGTAACATCGGCAGAATTTGTCGACATGGAACGTTTAAACTTGTCTGACAGCAACACATTCCTGAAAAACCTCTCCAGTTTTCTGAGATGTGTAGTCCATGGTGACTATAAACTTCATGTTTATAGTCGCCTTGGACAACTTCAACATCTGACGAAATTCCACTTTACGTAGCCTGATTGATTCACTTCAAACCAGTAGATGGAAAAACATCTAATTTGCATTTTCTTTTTAGGCAAACTTTTAAAGGTTTGTTTAAAATTTGCACTACAATCACATGGAAGCATAGGCTTCTGACTGGTTAACAGTTAGCTGCTAACAATGCTAAAGTTCCACTTTGTACTTCATTTTGGTGCTAATCTAAAGTGTTGGCATTGAGGGTTTTTATTCAGTTACTCTAAAGGGCAAGTATTTCAACCAACTGCATCTGAAGTGGATAAGTTTAGACTGTACAGAAAGTCTTTAACAGTTTGTGTTTTATAAAACCTATATTTTATTTGAAAAGATGCAGAAATGAATGCTTTCTGGCATCAGCAAAGAATTAGCAAAGTCAAACTCAAAATATGGGCTTGTCAAAATTGGAATATTGTACATTATTCATAGTTTTCCCTAAAAATATATATTTTTAAATTCTCATTCTTTAAACCCTGTAATGCATTTTATCAAATCCCTAACAGATCGCAATGGTGAAGAGGGCGTGTGAAGAGGAAATCCACCGCTTACCTATTTCAAGCTTCTTCTGTGTTATAAATAAAAAAATAAAATATATATATATATATATATATATAAGCATTTAAAGTTTAAAAAGTTGCGCAAAGACAAAACACATCAACAACATGGTTTCTTTCCAGGTTCATCAACAAGTTACCTGCTTCATAAAAAATACAATTCTCACCTTTAACTTCCACAGACTCATTTAAAAAAGATAAAACAATATTCCACTCAGACTCCAGCTCAGTCTCAATATATTCCAATCCGTCGATACCAGGGGGGAAAAAGACAGAAAGAAAGAAAGAAAGAAAAAAGCGTCTTGTTAACACTTTCCACCTGAACGTTAGCTCCTCGTCATCGTAAACGGCGAGGAGAGCCTCCTACGGAGACGCATGAGAGCCAGGAGAAGGAGGAGCGGCAGGAGCGGAACCAGGGATGCTGGCGGAATCCGATGATCTGCGAGCTCTCGGCGAGGGGATCGAGCCACCGGAGACGAGGGGTGATGAAGAAGAAAAGGCGGAGAAGGAGGAGGAGGAGGAGGAGGAGAGAGGCATGAAGGCAGGCAGCGGTGAATGAGTGGAGGATGCAATTGCCCTCCCCTCACACCACCAAGTCTCTCTCTCTCTCTCTCTTTCTCTTTCTCTCTCTCCTGCACAGATACAGTGGAAAGCGCACTCCTACCCCCCGCCCTGCCACAGATTGCATTGCACTGATGAAATTTTAATGGTTCTTTTAGGAAGAATAATGAACATGCGAGTCCCCGGAGTTGCTCATAAGAGTGGAGGTTCTGCACTGCACACACCTACAGAGGTATGCAACAAACCTGCAGACGGCACCGGGTCTCATCTCCCCTCACACACCCCAAACTCCAACACGCCCATCTTTCTTTTCTTCTTTCATCTGCATACCACTTACCAAAACACACACACACACATAAAACACACATATATATAGATATATGCAATATCAGCTCATACTGAGCAACATCAAACCCTACTCCCGACAGATACACACACTCTCACTCACACACTCCACGCTCCCGTCGTAAAGGGAAGACAGGGTGGGGGAGTAGATCGAGAGATCCAACCCATCCTCAAAATGCTCTCTTGGAATGCATTCCCATCCACACACACACACACACGCAGGCACACACCCAAAGGAAGAGGAACAAAGAGCGCCGTGGCA